TATAACTTAAGAATTAAGAACATAAAAGAAGAAGTAGGGACATAAACAAATGCACTACAAAAGCTATTCACAGAAATAATCCAAAAGAATTCCACTAATTTAGCAAAAGGTAAAGATACTCAGATATATGAGGCATACAGGACCCCAGCCACCTACAACCCAAACAGAGCTACACCCAGGCATATAATAATAAAAATTCCAGAAATCCAATATAAGAACACAATATTAAAAGCCGTCAGAGACAAAAAACAGATCACTTACAAGGGAACACCCACCAGAATTACAGCAGACTTCCCAGCACAAACCATCAAATCACGAAGAATGTGGGGGAAAATAATTCAAGCTTTGAAAGATAACAACCTCCAGCCAAGATTGATATATCCTGCACAACTGTCCCTAGAAATTGATGGAAAAACAAGGTGCTTCCAGGATAAAGAGGAACTAGGGGAATTTGCAACCGCCAATTCAACTCTACAGAGAATACTGCAGGATATTCTAAAAAAGGAAAATACCAAGATTCCAGAAACAGTGGCAGAGAGGCCACAATGAATGGAGCAGAAAGTGAAATGAAGAAGACAAACTGACAACAAATGACAGAAAAAGAGCTCAACAGAAATGAGGCAGAGAAGATTGGATGGTAGGAATAGCTATTTTGGAGAAAATAAGACATCATAATAGCTAGTGCTGATTTAGTATCATTTTGTTTTGAAGTCCCATCAAGCTTTTATTCTTCTGTCTCCATCAGTCTTAACAGATTGTATCTTACTGGATTTTATTATATGTGATAATATAAGCAAAAAATTTTATAGACAAGGAAATTATACAGAAACCATTGTTCATTCTCTGATAGTTGGCTCTAAATACTCTGTAATACTGTCATTCTCTTGAATGGTTTTACATTGTCTTGATATGTTTGGTGCTACAGTATACGAAGTTATACTCAAAGATTTCAAGGAAAGAGACACTATGGTAACTACTTTTATGTCAGAATATCTAATAGTTATGCTTTGACCTGCGCTGTTTTGTTGTTATGCCCTCTTTTATCTCAATCTCCTTTTTTTTAATTATTTACTTTCTTATTTTTATCTTTTTAATTAAGGGAAAAATAAAAATAGCAGGATACATTATAGTAACCCACTTTCATTTCCTATTAACTTGATTTGAAACCCTGTATTGCTCTCACCATCTTGTTGTAACTGATTTTCCTCTATTCTGCTTTGCTTGATAGTACCAAATTCGAAAGTATAGGCAACAACTGTGAAGACAATAAGATTTATTTTGACACCCATTCTGGTTGACTATTATCTTCTTTTAAAGCCCTGTAATATCTCCAATGTTTTGGTTTTATTCTTTACTGTTTTGTTCAATTTTATTATAATCGATGATACAGGCTATCTTTTTAAGATAGCAAGAGGCAGTATGGTAACTATAGTTGTTCACTTTGTATTTTGTTTTTACATTATCTATTATGTCCATCCTTTTGATTTGACTGACTCTGTCCTGTTATGTCACATTTGGTTTTACTTTCTTAAAAAAAAAGTAATAAGAACTGTGGGAATAATAAAACCCAAAATGTGTAATTGTCATTGTACAAAAGAGAGGAAAAGAAAGTGCCCTAAAGAATATAACTGCATATATATTTAATTGTATAAAATAGATAACCATATTACTGAGTTTTGTTGGATCATTGAACTAAACTGTTTGCAGTCTCACTGTTTGAAAGTCCACTTTATATGCTTTAATTTTGTAACTTGAACAACTATTTCTAAGATAACAATATGTAATCTATTAACTAGTGATTTCCTACTGTTTATTTTTTTCTGAAATTCTGTATAACTTGTATTCTTTTTCTGTTTTTTTTCTCCTTAAATAAAATAAAAAAAAAAAAAAACAGGAGAAGAGTCCAGTGAGGAGAGCAAGACTATTTTCCTCCCTTATATTTTAAGCAGGATCGGTCCCTGGGGCAGGTATAGCACTCACATCATCTCCTTCCCCTCTTTTTGCACAGATTTAAGATGTTTACCAAGTGAGGACCCTGCCCTGCTAGCTGAATCACTTAGTTAAACTTCTAAACTCCTCAATTCTCAAATTGACACAATGTATCAAACCATTGCAATAGTTTTTCAAGATATATTATTCTAGGTTGGAAGTTGTTTTGTTTAGGGTTTGAAACACTTTACTCCAATGTCTCCTATTTTGAAAAGTATGCTGTAGTCTTAATGGGTTTATCTTTATAAGTGATTTTCTTTTGCTTTTCTCTGACAGATTTTAACATTCTGTCTTTATGTTGGAATCCCGAAATTTTTTCTATGATATTTATATTCTTCTTCTTCTTCTATTATTATTATTATTATTATTACTATTATTATTATTTGGGGTTCTGTAACTCTTGCTTTCTTCTCTGTTGAGTTTTTTCCCCATACTTAGAAATATTTCGGCAGTGATTTCTGTAAAGAGATTTTTATTCAATGCATGCTGTCCTCTAATTTTTCTCTAACTTCACTTAGACTTAGGTTAGTTTTCTCTGCATTATCTTGGATTAATTTTTCTTTTGCTCATATTGTTTTTAAAGTTTCCCTGAGTATATACTCTTGTGCTGCCAATTTGTCCTTGAAGTCTGATATTGTCGCTTCACATTAGTCACTTTTGCTGTTTATATATTCAATAGAATTTTCTACATTATCGTTGGAATTTCTGTTTGGAAACATTTCATGTATTTCTTTAGTAAATTTTTTATTCATGTTTTGAGTGGTTTTTGTTTGCTCTTGTAATTTTTTTGACTCTTGTTTAACTACATTGGTCAATTTTTAAATTCCCTTCTGTTTTGTTATATCATTTTTGAGCTCACTGAATTTCTTTCCTTTATCTATTTTTTCATTTAGTTTTGAGACAGGATCTTTCTATGCAATTCAGGCTGAGCTTCAGCTCACTTTGTAGTCCAGGCTGGCCTCAAACTTGATAAGATCCTCCTGCCTCAGCATCCTGAGTGCTGGGTTTACAGACATGCACCACCATAGCTGGCCTTCTTTCCTTCTTAATGATGTCATACAGCTTTGTGTCCCTTGGATTTGCTTTGGGAGTGTTGAGAGTCTTTGGAGGCATTTTGTTGCCTTTTTTTGGTATTTTTTATGTGTGTGGGCTGAGGGTTGAGGTCAAATAGAGTTGACACTCTATTTTTGATTTGATGATCTCATACTTAACATGTTTTCCAAGATGTGATCACGGGTTTATTTGTTAAGAAACATCACCCACCACTTCAACCTATTGAGTTAAATTGGACTGGACTCAATCACTGTGTTTTAAGGAGAGAACTGCTACTGATTATAACAGCATCCAGATATCCAACCATACATCAAAAATAAACATTAAAAGTTGTTTTGACATTCCTCCTCATAAATCAATGTGCTCTACAAACTATACTGTATTTTCATTAGTTGCTTGTCAGAAATTTAGAAGTAGAAAGGAAGGAAAAAATAAGGTGAAAGTTAGTGTATAAGTAGGTAAAAAGAAATGAAGATAATAGAAATGTCAGTGAGTAAAAAATAAATAGCAGATGGACTGTATTGGCAGTATTTTATAGTTGGTGCAAAGTGTGAATGTTAAGGGATTTCAGACAATGTTTGTGGAGGCGGGTTGGGGGAGGGATGCAAAGGGAAAGAAGTGTAATCAGATATTGAGAAAAGCTGTGAAATTGTCAGAACCTGTTAATATATTTGTAGGTAGTTTACTTTGGCTCTTCTAAGCACAAATCTGTTAAGAATTACCCTGACATGGTCATCAGTGTTACTGTTTAAGTTAAAGCATTGGTATGTTCTTAATTGTCTTTTGTACATATACAGGTACTTGTGCTCTCTCTCTCTCTATTTTCTCCCCCCCCCTTTCTCTCTCTCTCTCTCTCTCTCTCTCTCTCTCTCTCTCTCTCTCTCTGTGTGTGTGTGTGTGTGTGTGTGTGTGTGTGTGTTATGTGAAAGGTGAAGAAGAAAAGAGGAAATACAGGTGGATAGGGAAAATGAGTACGATTGAAGAACAAAGAACAGAGAAAAAAAAGAAAGTTTAAAAAATAGCAAAATAAAGGAACAAATTAACAATAAAAATAATATTGATAAAAAAGTAAGAACTAAAGAAAAGGAAAGCAAAATTCAAAGAAAACCCAGAATAGACAAGCAAATAAACAAAAAATCCTTACTTTGCTGCTATACCACATGGTCAAGAGTGTCCTTGAAGTTCCCTTTATGCTGTGGTCATTGTCTGGTTGCAGGCAGCCAAGCGGTTTCATCCCTATAGACTGCTTGACTGCCTGCTTGGAAGGAGTGAGGGCTGTCAATCTCTCTTGACCCACATACTGGGTGCAAGCCGAAATTTGGTTATAGCCCAATGCAACCCTGTGTACCTGTCCCAAGATCCAACCACTTTAATCAATTTGACAAGAGGATATGATGCATTTTGCCTAACACCCAGTTTTCTGTCACTTCTGTCAGTGACCTGTCATCGCCCTTCCTTCTCCAGAGCAAAACCAATAGTTGTCTCCATGCTCTCCCTCAAGAGGCCTTCTGCCAGGAATATCACCAAAAGGCCTCTACCCAAAACAATTCTTTCTGTTCTCTACTTTCCAACCCATAGAACTTGTCACAAGTCTCAAATTCTGCAAAGGGATTCAAGGGATTCCTTTGCTCACAGAGGGTGGTGGGTGGAGGAGAAGATTTCAGGCAATCTCAGATCTTTCTGGTGTTTGGGAAAATAGGGAAATGCCCACTCTGGTCAAGCTCCACTGACTCTTTTCCCCTGCTCCATGTTTCCAGGGATGTGAACCATGGGTCCCTGCCTGCAAGTTTAAGTTTGCAATGTTTAGACTCTGTCTGCCTAAAGTAGGGGTTATCTCTTGTCAATGATGTGTAGTTGACAGTAGGTAAGATGCCACAGAGACACAATGTTCCCTGGTACTTGGAAGGATAGGGGAAAGCGTTGCCTATTTTTGTGTTGCTGATTGTCTCTTTTTCTAGTTACAGTACACAGATTCCCTGGATCCCCAACTGCAGTTGACTTCCATCCTGAGATTTCTCTTCCAGGTGAGAGTGAGAGTCCTAGGGAGCCTATCCCAGGAGTCTGGCCTATGTAGCATTGTCTCCTTTCCTTATGTTGTTCAAACTGCTCCCAAGATGGCCTATTGGCTAGCTAAAGTATGCCAGGAGAGTTGTAGACCAACTGTGGCCCACTTCCCTTTTTCAGCAGTTTTTGAGTACTTGGTTTCTAAAGTATGGTGGTATTGACCAGAGGTATGTATGAGACAGATACACAGACATAAGGACTTCTGGAGCCATGCACCAAAATCTTCCAGAATGCATGGTTAGAGATTAAAAGATAGGCTATAGGGCCACAAGTCCAAGTAGGATCAAAATGCATTGTGTTAAGGAATAAATGCTCTAGCCCTCTCTTCCCCATACTCTTATTTATCACTTAGATTGGCCCTAAGATCAATCATGTAACAGACCACCCTGACCTTCTGTCCTTTTCTTGTCCCCTACATAAATTCCTGCACAGATGTCCTTCTTTTGTCCTTTATCCTTACTTCATGGTTCTATCAATAAAAAACCACAGAAGCTTCAGTTTGGGGCTATCTTTATGAGACTGTTATGCTAAGAGATCTTGCTTATGGGCTGTCCTTCCTGGAATTTGAATTGGACACTGACTCCAAGCAATCTCTTCCTTTGCACAATGCTACCATCATGAACTGTGACAATTTAATACAGTTAGAAGCAAAAAAATTAGGGAGTCACTCCCTTTGTTTCATTCAACTATAAGCACAACAGCACCCTAATGAACACCACATGTTTAAACTTTAAGAGGTCATGATGTCCAAGGTGGCAGATCACGGACACTAGTGAGAAACAGAATGGGAGGCATTGGAGTCAGAGGTGTCTGATCCTTTAAACACTGGGAGCCTGAATTGTCAGAGGTTACTGTTTTTTTTCCTCCTCCTGTTTTCTTTTGCCTTTCTGCTTGTTCCTGCTGCTACCATTCCATAATCTTCAATAAATGTAGCTACTTACCATGAGGTATATGCTTGACAATTATTTTCTCATGCACAAGAACCCAGACTATTTTTGGCCCATTCAACTATAACAAAGCAGTGCCCATGTGAGTCATAAACTGGTACAAGGCAATGCAGAGGTCCTAACCTCCCAAAGCCTGGAGAAAGATCAAGGATGCCCAATTTCACATCTTGCTAAGGGGACAGAAGTGGCTGTGGAATAGCCTAGAATGCTTTCGGCTTATATTTATCAGCCCAGAGGTCTTTAAACTGTCCAGTAGCTGAGTGAGCAGGGGAAGTTTATTTATTCTTCTTTTTGTTCTTTTATTTTATTTTCTTAAATTTTAAGCTAATTTTATTTATTTATTTTAAAGAGAATAAAACTAAAGAAAATAAAACAGAATAAAACCAACCAAAATAAACCATTATAAGACATACAGGACTTCAAAACCTTATGAAATAGGCTGGGGGTTTAGCTTAGCACTTTAAGTGTCTGCTTAGCAAATGTGAGGTCATGAGTTCAATCCCCAGTACCAAAAAAAAAAAAAAAAACCTTATGAAATCAACAATAGTTACCATAATACCTTTTGTTATCTTCAAATAGCTGCAGATATCGTCAGACATAGTAAAAATTGACCAGAACACAGTAGAATAGAAATAATAAAAACAAAACAATTACTGCAACAAAGAACTTCAAAACAAGCCAATAGTAAATCTAAAATGGCTACCATAATATGTCTTGCTATTTTTCAAATAGCTGCTCACGCCATCAGATTTAACATAATCAAGCAAAACAAAAGAGAATAAAGCCCAACTCAACAATACAATGAAAATGATATGGTTTCCAGGCAGGGATCGCTTCCTGGTGAGGCCTTGTTCTCTTCCCAACCCCTGCAGTCCATGAATGGTGTTGAGTCACTGAGAGAGGCTTGGGTCTGGCTGTCCCTATTCTGGCATCAGCCAGCACATGATGCTGGTTTTCAGGTGGGGATCACCTCGTGGTGAGGCCTGATTCTCTCCCTCCACAGTCCACAAATGATGTTGACTCATAAAGAGAGAGTTGGGTCTGACTGTCCCCACTCTAGCAGCAGCCTGCACATGGCTCTGATTTCCAGGTTTTTTTTTTTTATTTTAAAGAGTGAAAAATGAAACAAAAAACAGACAAGAAAAAAATAAGAAACAAAAGAGACAAACAACAACAAAAACCCAAAATAATAACAATATAGACTTTCAAAACAAGATGATAGGAACTTAACAATGGTTGTTATTTTGCAGTTATCTTCAGAAGAGTTACTCCATATAGAGTAGAGACTACTAGATATAGATATGCAAAATTGATCTCATTGTATGAGTGTTAGTTGTTCTGTTCCAAGAGCTAATAGGACTGGTAGCACAAACATCTTATCTATCTTATGTATATATATATATACAAATTTATATCTTTTCCCTTCCTTCTTTTCTCCTTTTCCCTATCTGAGTTATATTTCCCTTTTGTTCATTTACTTTCATTCATACAGTAAAGATCAAACTTTATACAAAAAGGAAAAGCAATTTAAGCAACAGTTCCAATGTATCTTAAAAATACTGAACCTCAACTTATTAAATTATTGATAGTTATTTAACCACAATGCCCATGGTTTCCTGTGGAGGACTGCCTGAAGGAGGAGGACTGGGAACATGTTAGCCCAAAATGGAGACAGTCATTAAGTCCTGATAAACTTGCAAATCTTGCTATCACGCATCTTTGCAGGGTCATTATTTAATCTACTTGAACAAAGAAAGTTCTCCTGAAAAAGCTCCTTTCTCTTCCCTCTGAAAACACCCTGCCAACTCTGATTCCCTAAGGGACCAAGAAAGAAACAATGTGTGTGTGCAGACATGGGGATCTCCAATTGTACCACGTGTCGACTGAACTTATTTTACAAAAAAAAAAAAAAAAAAGACAAATAAAATAATATAAAAATAAAACAATATAGAAAAAGGAAACTAAAAAATAGTTTTAAGGGAGAGAAAGCTAAAGATAACAAAAGTTAAGCCAGCAAATTATGCTAAATTGGGACAAATTTATTAGGAAAAGGGAACCCCTATCAGTATCTTTTACAAAACCTCAAAGACACATATATATGAGGATAAAAGTATAAAACTTATATGAACATTTCCAAAATGTCCTATGATTTTCTTTCCCTCTCGTTCTTATTCTCTTTCAGAAAAGTCAAAAGGCAGTCATTCAGTTTCTTTGATTTTATTTTTCTGCTTGACAATGTGATTGAAATCAATCACATATTTTGTCTTTGGATGCATGTATTGTCAAGCACTGGTGATCCACCCTGAAGAATCTTTTCGGTTTGGATTGTATTTCTGCAAACGAAATGGTTGCAATTTGGTTCTCGGGTTCCAGAATGATTTTCTTTTCTGTAGCTGCTGCATTCCAGTACTGGTTTTCTGGGGTAGTGAGTGTCCCCTCCCTATGACACTTCCAGAGTAAAGCAGACCTTCATTTGTTTCTGTGTTATATTCTTAAAAACTGATCTGGCCCCCGGTACTGATAAAAAAAAAAAAAGGATCTGGCTGGAAATGGTGGTACATGCCTGTAATCCCAGCACAGAGAAGGCTGAAGCAGGAGAACTGACTTAAATCTGAGGCCCATCTGGCCTATATAGTAATCTTAGGGCCAGCCTGAACTGCACATCAAGATCCTGTCCTCCCCCACCCCCCAAACAAAGAAAGAAAAGAAAACTGGTTTGAATTTGACCCTTGGACTCTTGAAGAATACATGTAGTTTAGTCTAAACTTATCAGCCTTTCTTGTCTTTGCAGAATTGGAAATTTAACTCCTTTCACTTCCCTCTCCCTTCTAGAATGCTGCTCAACCGGGCAAACTAGCTGGCTTTTATAGTACAAATAAGTTCATTGGTAAAATAAAAAATATTTGTTGGACTTTTATGAGCTTATTAGCAGTTTTTAACAGAGACAAAGCTATATAATAAGATAAACCATCAGCCTAGATACCTTCTTAATAACTTTTCACTTTCATAGCTATAAAAGGAATTCTTCCTTCTGACTTCTATTACAAGCAATTTCTAATAGTTGCTCACATATAGGAAAAATTTAGACTGGTCTTCTTATAGGTACAAACCTAAAAACTAAAATGTGTATTGTAGCTCAACTTGGTCAATATATCTAAAAGTGCATGCTGGTTTAAAAATAAATTCTTTTTGTGTGTTTTGTATGTTTAATGCATGTTAATAACAGTTTAAATCATCTTCAACTGCCTTATTTATGAAAAATTTTGAACTCGACAGTATTTTTATTTCTACATTTTTGGAGGGTTTTTTTTTTTGAGATTCTTGTGGGAGGACCATTTATATAGGTTTTAGAGTAACCAAATTTATTTAAAACATTACCAAATAAAGACTGAAAGCTTTCAGGATTACACAGGAAGAAAAGCCTTCTTTGACAACCTAAAGGCTACAGTTTGATAACATAAAGTTTACATGTGATTTAAGATAATATATGGATACATTTCTGTGTGTTAACTTTCAGGTATATATTATATTACCCTCCAAAAGTTGAACTTAAATTGCCTTATAGATAAACATTCAAGACATTATCTCAAATACTTGTAGTTCATACAGCTTGAAAAAGGCTAATTTAAATTGTTGAGAGTAAAAATGCCTTTAAAGTTGTTAAGATTTCCATCCAGGTTCTTAGGTAATCAAGATAATATCAAGACAGTTTTATGAATGCAATTACTTATTATTGCCTATGTACCATAATTTAAGAGTTTTTCATGGTAAAAGATAATACATATAGTATTTAAGTAAGTGTTATCTGTTATTATCATAGTTTATGTCAGTGGCCCCCGGGCCTCATGCAACTATACGTTTGTGATTGGCTCATTGTCTAGCGCTGAGATTGGTGGTGTGTTATACCCGCCTAGGGGTGGAGCCAGGATATAATGTAACAGTAGGAAGAAGGTGTTTTTCTCGTGATAGATCATGACTTGTGGTTTGCAGCTGCCGTAAAGGGATGCCCTACCATGTCACACTGCCTTGGAGCCAACTGAGCATGGGCTGAAATTTCCAACCTGTAAGAAACAGACCTTCCCTTGCCTGACTTTGGGCTTCAGGTGTTTTGTCTCAGCAACCAGAGAAAAGTAACCAAGATATTCAGTATGCTTTAGTTACAATTTTCATGAATGCTTAAATTATACCAGTTTTAGCCAATAGGAGAGTTTTAGAGTTGGGTCAGAGTCAATGTGACATGACTCCAGTGATCTTTGGGTCATTCCTTGTTTTCCAGGATGTTGATGGCTTTTCTTACACATTTCCTAGATCAGATGCTGAATCACCATTTGCCCAATGATTGTATTTCTTCTACACTGCTATTGAGTGGATCAGAGTGTTAGGAAATTTATTTTATTTTTTTAAATTTTTCATTATTTTGAAGGTAGTAAAATACAACAGAACAAGACAGAACAAAGCCAATTGAGACCACGCAGTGAAATTGGTACAGAATATCACAATAGGTTACCAGGATAAATAATAGGTACCATAATATATCTTGTTATCTTCACAATAGTTGTTCTTTCAATCAAGTATAGCAAAATCAAACCAAATACAGAACATTATAGAAATTATCAAAACAGAATACTGAATAGAGCAATACCATTAATCAGAACAAAGCAAAACAGTGATAACAATATTTGCCTTCAAAGAGATGGTAGAAGGAAATTCCCCTATTTGCTATATTGCATATGGTCAACTTCCCAAGAGGTGCTCAGAACTCTGGCTCCCATTTGCTAATGGAAGGAGTGGATATTAGATTCTCAGCCCATGCACTGGTATGCTCATGGCTGCTTAACAGGGAGGTGAGCAGATTGCTTGGTTTCCCAGCACTCTAAGTACCAACATGGCATGGGTCTCGGGAGACGCTGGCTGGTTCTCACCCTGGGCTGGCCACTACTTGCTCATGCCATGGCTGCTTATCAGGGAGGTGAGCAGGTTGCTTGGTTTCCCAGTGCCCTATGTTCCAACATAGAGCAGATCACTGGAGGTGCTAGCTGGTTCTTTCGCTGGTTCTTTTCCCTGGCCGCAGCTTCCCCAAGCCAGGGAAGCAAGCCAGGAAATTTAGACATTAAAGAGCTGAGGAATGATGTTGGGGGGCATCCAAAATAGCCGATTTAGTACATTTATATCCATTTGCTTGGTCTCAGTCCTAAAGTGGTCCCACAGAGCATAATGACATTTTAAGGTTATTATTCACTGTGCACATTCCTTCTGATACCTAACCATGTGCCTATCTGTAGAACAAGACGTATAGCATTCTTGGCTGCCATAACCCACGTCTTAATGATATGAGAAAAGGAAATAGTGTTCAAAGACTCTCCTGCCTTAAGGTGGGAACTAATTTAATTTAAAAACTTATCTTTCAGAAACTTATCTTGGGCTGGGAAACCAAGAAATCAGCTCGCCTCCTTGGTAAGCGGCTGTGGCTTGGGCAAGCTATGGCAGCACCAGGGTAAGAACCAGCCGGCGTCTCCTGAGCTCTATGCCATGTTGGAACTTAGGGCACTGGGAAACCAAGCAACCAGCTTGCCTTCCTGGTAAGTGGCTGAGCCTACCGGTGCACGGGTAGAGAATCAAACACCACCACCACCCGTTAGCAAATGGGAGCCAGAGATCTAAACATCTCTTGGGAGGTTGACCATATGCAAAATAGGAAATAAGGAGGATTTCCTTCTACCATCTCTTTGAAGGCAAATATTGTTATCACTGTTTTGCTTTGTTCTGATTAATGGTATTTCTCTATTCAATATTCTGTTTTGATAATTTCTATAATGTTTTGTATTTGGTTTGATTTTGCTATACTTGATTGAAAGAACAACTATTGTGAAGATAACAAGATATACTGTAGTACCTATTACTCGTCCTGGTAACCTGTTGTGACATTCTGTACCAATTTCACTGCACAGTCTCAATTGGCTTTGTTCTGTCTTGTTCTGTTGTATTTTACTACCTTCAAAATAATGAAATTTTTTTTTAAAAAGGAAACATTTTGTAAGTGTCTTACATGATTAAAGCCACTGGGGAAATACTGACTATCTAAAAAGGATAAGAAAAAAAAAAAGAAAGAAAAAAGGATAGGAATACAGCTTGTAATTCCGATGTGACTTCTAAGAAAATATTGATAAGCATTATAATTACCCCAATTCCATGAACCCCAGGATTAACTCTTGTGTGCATAAAAATATCCACACATTCAGTGCAGGTGCCTTCGTGGTACAAACTACTTTGCCGCTTGAAAGCATAACTCTCTATATATCTACTTTACAATATATTCTACCTATACTACTGCACAAAAGCCTATGTTTTGACTGAATTGTTTTATCAAGGACACAAAGAACCAAGGACCATGGAGGTGAAAGATTAATTCTTCACAGTGTCAGGATCCTGCTTTCCAGAGACAATAAATTCTATGCCATTCCAGGGACCAGTGTTTGGAAATATATATGTACATGTGTATATAGGTAGGTAAATATGTATATATCTAGGTAGAAAGACCAACAGTTAGTCTTTTGTGTCCAGTGATTCCCATCCATTTAACCATTCAACCAATTATGGATAGAAAATATTTGAAAATGTTGTATTTGGTTCTCACTTCAGCAGTTCATATACTAAGATCAGAATGATACAGAGATTAGCATGCCCTCTGCACAAGGATGACATGTAATTTCATGAAGCATTCCATATTTTGGAAAATGGATGCACCTTGAGACCATAATGTTAAGTGAAATAAATCAGACCCACAAGATTAAATATCTCATGGTTTCCCTTAAATGAGAAGCCCAAACTATAAATAAAAAGCAAAATAAAAGATAGATAAATAGGAAGTAAGAAGATCTTCAAATAGGAAGGGGATCAAGAAATGGAAGAAGCAGGGTGGTAGGGAGGGAGAGAGAAAGTGAATGAAAAACATTGAGATGTATTATGTACATTTATCAATTCCATGCAAGGAATGCAATCATCATGTAATGTAAATATGTACTAATAAAAAATTGAGACTGAAAAAAATTGCATCAGTACTGAACATATATAGAATTCTTTTTTTGTCATTATTCCCTAAACAGTACAGTATAACAACTATTTACATAATGTCTGCATTTTATTAAGTATTGTAAATAGAGAAAATTTAAAGTATGTAAGAGGATATGTACATATAATGTATAAAAACTATATCACTACAGGGTATTGAACATCTGCAGATTTTGATGTTTAGGGAAGTTCCTGAAATTGATCCCCAACAGACACCAAGTGGCTACTATACCTATACTTATATATACACATGGATATAGATATGACTCAAAATACATAGATAGCATATATAAACTTTTTTTTTCAGTATTGGGGTTGAACCCAGGAGTTTTTTTTTTTTTATGAGCTATATCTCCAGACCTTTTTATTTTTATTTTGAGGCAGATTTTTGCTAAGGTGCCCATAAAACAACTGGGATCAAATTTATGATCTGCCTACCTCAACCTCCTGAACAAGTGAAATGATAGATGTGCACCACACCTGGCTGACTTCAAATTTTTTATTGCATGATTGTGACAGATTCTCATAGTTGTAATTCTTAAGGCAAGGGCTTAAATATATATACAATTTTGCTAAATGTTGCCAAATTCCTCCCCATGAGAGCTGTGTCATCTGTTATTCTGATGAACAATATTTGAGCCATGCTATTGCACTATTGCTTCACCAACAAGCTATGTTCTGCAATTTTTGGAATTTTGCCAATACAATAGATAAGAAATTATGTCTGTCATAGGCAACTACTTTGAAGACAATAAGATTCACTAAGATACCCATTCTGGTTTGACTATTGTCTTCTTTGGAAGTCCTGTAATGTTTACAACGCCTAAGTTTTATTGGTCTTGTTCTCTACTGTTTTGTCCAACTTTATAATATCTAATAAGATAGACAATTCTTTTTAAGGAAACAAGGGACAACGTTGATAACCATTGTTGATAAACTTGTACTCTGTTCTACACCATGTGCTACGTCTATCCTTGGTATTGACTGACAGCTTTGTTTTGCCATATTTGACTGTATTCTCCCCCCCCCCCCAAAGAAAGTAATAAGCACTAAGGAGTAATAAAATCCAAGATGTGTAAATTTTGTTGTAAAAAAGAGAGGGAAAAAAAAAAAAAGAAAAGGAGCTCTAACGGATATAACAGCAAGTGTGTTTGGGGGTGTTAAATAGCTGACTTTATCAATGTTTTTGGAACATTGAACACAGCTGTTTGCAGTCTCCTTGTTTGAATGTCCACCTTGTGTTCTTTGATACTGTGATTTGAGGAACTATTTTCAAGAAAATAGTGTGTAATCTACTAGCAGGTAATTTCTTACTGTTATGGTTTTTTGTTTTGTTTTGTTTTGTTTTGTTTTGTTTTGTAGTTCTGTATTGCGTGTACCCTTACGCCGCTTTGGTTTGTTTTGTGTTTTTCTCTTTTTCCTCTTAAATAAAAAAATAAAAAAATAAAAAAAAAGAAATTATGTCTGTGGAGTTTTGACTTGAATTCTTTTATTTTGCAAGAAGTAGAGTATCTTTTTATATATTTAAGGACAATTCATTTCATTTTGTCTTAATTTTTCATTATTCTTACATATTTTCTATAATTGTTATCTTTTTCTTCCATATTTTAGCGGCTTTTCCCCATTTATTATGAAAATATTTTCAGATGTTGTAAAGTTGAACATATACAGTGAACCTTTATTTGCTCACATACCACTGAGATCATACCATAAACATTTTGCTATATGGTATCATATCTTTCTAAAGTGGTCATATTTTTTCTTTATGAATCAATTCTTGGGTTTTTTATGCATTGCAAAGTGAGTTACTATTCTCAGTACACTTCTTCTAATTCTTTAGTAGCTCTTTTATAGGTTTCCCATTTCATCTTTTGTTGCGTTTTTCTTTTTAGTTTAATTTTTTCATTTTTTCCAGGATAATTCTTTATTTTTATTCTCAAAATTATCAGAATTTCCCCTAGTTGCTGTTATATTTTGAGGTACGGTTAGGTTTTTTGCACTCCCAGTTAACAGAAGAATTCATATAAGTTTTCTTTTAATTTCTATGCCACCTTTTACTTGCCAGTTCTCTGATAATAATTTCAAGCTTGGATTTTATTTTGTTGAACATTAAAAGTACAGTTTACAGTCTGTGTTTGATACATAATACCTAATTTCCTGCTGTGTAGATCTGTTTTTATGGGCTATTGTTTTTATATATACTTTTCTTATTTTGTTACATACATGATTATTGGTGATTGCATGGTATAGTGTATTTGTAGAAATAAGTTGAGGCTTATGAAAATAAAATTTCTTCCAAAGATATATTTTATTTGCTTCTGTCTGGTGCATGGCATCACTGCCAGTCTGGGGTAACTTAAATTGAATTTCAAGATTTATGTTTGCAGGGCCAACCAGATGGCATGAAGATGCTGCAAACAGACTGTAAGACCAGCTAAACTTCGTCTCACATTTTCCTTGTGAAAGACATTACTTGAGAGTCCATTAGACTGACGTGGCTTCAGCATACTGGGTTTCTTTATAAGCAAACTTAAACTCAGCTCAGTGTAAATAGTCACACTATAGGAAAATAAAATTTAAGCTTAATTAACCAGAAATTACCAACTATCCTTTTATATATTCTCCACTAGAATAATCCTAGTAAGGTTACTACTTCACCTTGACCAATCAAATATTTTCTTTGACTTGCTTCCTTGTTTACTTTTTTTTTTTTTTGCAGGGGAGCTGGAGATCAAACCCAGAATTCAACATGGTAGCCAAATGCATAATACCACTAAGCTATATCCTAGCCAGGTGTTATCATCTTAAAAACAATTTGTTAAAGATCACATTTTGGGGATTCCTAGGTGTCATGGTTTATGTCTGTGTCCCCCAGGCCTCATGAGTTTGCATTTTGCATTTGTGATTGGTTCATTGTCTAGTGCTTGGATTGATGGTGTCAGTGCTACACCCACATAGGAGTGGAGCCAGAATGTGATGTAATGACAGGAAGAAAGTATATCTTGCTCTTTTTGCCAGTTTCTGCCTTGCTGTTTTGCAGCCACCATGAACTGTGGCCCTGCCACGCCAGCCTGCCTTGAAGCCAACTGAGTATGGACTGAAACCTCCAAAAACTGTAAGAAATAAACCTTTCCTTTCCCAACTTTGGGCTTGAGATATTTTGTCTCAGCAACGAGTAAAAAGTAACTAAGAATCTAGGCCTTTTGACTTTGGTCTTTTAGCCAAACAAAACTAACAAACATAAAGTTCAGGTTTGTAGTTGTTTACTTGGATTTTTAAATAAAGGGTAAAGGAGTTTTTCAGTAATAAGCTTAACTTGAGTTTTCACTTTCTGCTACATTTTGACCTGGAGATAATTTCTTACTGTCTTGTAAACTCATTATGATTTTAAGAAAGTAGATTTTTAAAATTTAGCCAGGCAAGCTGATGTATGCCTGTGATCCTAGAACTCTGGGAGGCTGAAGCAAGACAATTTCAATTTTGAACAGTCTGGCAATTTAATGAGACCTTGTCTCAAAAAAAAAAAATTTAAAAGGGCTTGGAATGTAGCTTTGTGGAAAGCTTCTGGGTTCAATTCCCCAGTTCCAACAAAATGATTTGTTTACTGTTTAGCTTGGATTTGAACGCTGGATCTCTAGTATGCTAGGCTAGCATCATAGTAATGAGCTACAGCCCTAGCCCTTTATTTTTTTTATTTTGAGACAGACTCTTTCTAAATTGCCCAGTCTGCTCTTCAACTTTGTTATTCTTTTTCATTAGTCTATTGAATAGTTGGGATTACATACACACACACACACACGTACTCCAGGTGTATTAGTTAGCTTTTAATTGCTAGATCAAATCATGACATATACAACTTTAAGGAGTAAATGGTTTATTTAGCTCACAATTTCAGAGAGTTCAGTTCATGGTTAGCTGGGACCAAAACAGAAATGGCATGGCAGAAAGCTTGTGGCACAGGGAAAGCTTCTCAACTCACGGCAGTCAGGAAACAGAGAGGAAGAGACAGAGATGCACTCTACAAAGACACACCTCCAGTGAGATAACTTCCCCACCCAGTCCCCATTTCTTAACAGTACAATCAGCTATGAATTCATTAATTCATTAAGCAATGAGTATAGCATTCCCATAACCTAAACACCTTCTGAAAGTTCCACCTCTGAACTCATGTGACTTTGGGAGCACAGTTTAGATCTAAACCATAATACCTGAATTTTATTCAACTTGTTTTCTTTCTGCAGTTGGAGATGGTCTCCAGGGACTTTTGCATCCTAGGCAGGCAATCCGTCATTGAGCTACACTCCTGGCCCCATACTTTCAGAGTGATGACTAGATTATCCATTTTGCCTAACCAGAGGTAGAAATTCTTCTCATTGTTACTTCAATTTCTGTTTCTTTGATTAATAAATTTAAGCATGTCCTTAAATGATTTTCAGTCTTTTGAACTTTCTCTTATATAAGCTGCCTGATTGTATCCTTTACTGATTTTTTCATTCTATCCTTTATTCATTTTATGTTTACTATGTTTTTCATGTTGATTTGCAATTCTTGTCATAGGCCAGAATTAGTCCCTTGTTGGTTTTAGAGACTGGAAATGTCATGTACCAATTTGTCATTGGCCCATTAGCTATATGTGTGGTTTCTTATATAAACAGAAATTATTGATTTTATGTAAAGAAATCCTTCATAGCTTTACCTTTCATATTATGTTTTGGTATAACTGGAAGTCATAGTTATGTGACAAGAGAAGCAGATAGGAGAAGCAGTTTTGATAGTGAGCCAATTTTCCCCAAACTTTCTCCTAATGAATCTTTTTTTCTATTTTTTAGGGATTTTTATTTTTTATTTTTATTTTAAGGATAAGTAAAATAAAATAGAATAAATCCAATAAAGAAACCAGTGTAAGTGACGCAGACTTCAAAACAAGACAATAGGAAATCAACATTGGTTACCCTAAGGCTTCTTGTTGTCTTCAAAATAGCTGCCCATACCTTCAGACAAAGTCGAACAAAAACAGAACAGAATAGAACCAATAAAGCCAAAACAATGGATGCAATAAAGGACTTCAAGATAAGAGTAAATCCAAAATGGCTACTATAATATATCTTGTTATCTTTGAAACAATTGCCTGTAGTGGTTGATTGATTGTGTCAACTTGAGACAGTTAGAAGCTAACTAAATGAGTTTAGCAATTCTACAACCAAGGATGTAGAAGAAGATCCACCCTAGGATGGGTTATCACCTCAAGATATAAGGGAGGAGGAAGGATGAATCCATTCCATTCTTGGGAGAAGCTCTAGTCTTCGCCTTTGGTTTGGACCTCACCTCCTGGATTTCAGTATAGACTCTTCAGCTTTCCAGCATAGACTTTTCAGCCTTTCATCACAGAGCCTTTGGCCTTCTGTTGCAGACCCATCAGCCTGCTGGTGTGGGCTTGCACAAGACACTAGGGTAAACTCCAGACCTTGGATTGAATCCTTCGGCCTCCAGTGCATAGACACCCTCTGCACACTTCCTCTTGGGACTCTGTGACTGACTATTGTAAGCCAATCTTGTTGTTTCTGTATATTCCAGGTTATACTCTGTTCTCTCTAGTAAAACCCTGACCAATACATTGTCCGTGTTATCGAATATAATAAAATCAAACAAGACAAAAGAGAATGAAACCCAATCCAACAAAACAATGAAAATGATACATGACTTCAAAACAAGATGATAGGGAATTAACAATGGCTACCACCTTTAGAAGAAGAGCTGCCGTAGATGCTACATTGTGTATTGTTATCCTCTGAATAGATGATCAGTCTACCAGCTTTAGACCTGCAAAGTCAGTGAAACACTAAACACTACAATCATTAAATTGGATTTTACCTCAATAGCTATCATTGCAGCCTGTGTATCTCCATATAAGCCAGTCACTTGTGGCAAGGGATGGGGGGCAGGTTTGCGCTTCTTGTTTCTCAGCCTGTATGCTGAAAGGGGTGGGGTCTGGCTGTTCCTCTGGTGATCTGCACATGGTACCAACTCACAGGGAGGGCTTGCTTCTTGATAACTTCGTGTTCTCTTACCCCACAGTCTACAAATGGTGCTGACTCAGGGGAAAAGGCTGACATTTGGCTCTCCACCCAGCAGCCCACATATGGTACTAATTTGCAGGGAAGGCTTGCTTCTTAGTGACTTTTTCTTCTCTTCCCCTGCAGTCCACAAACTACTTTTTTCTATTGATTAGTGACATTGTCTTTGTTATGTATGAAACTGTCATGCACATAATTAAATTTTCTAAACTATGTATTTTGTTCCATATATGTGTGTGTATATATATATATATATATATATATATATATATATATATGCTGCCACTACTACATGAGTATTTATCTCTCTTTTTATGGTATCTTAGTATCTGGTAAGTCGAGCTTCTGTTTCAAGATAAACTTATCTAGTGTTGACATTTATTCTTCTATATTAAGTTTATAAAAATGTATCAGTTTCTTTAAAAATTTGGATTTATTTTTTAAATTGTACTGACTTCATATAATTTTAGATCACCCGCTACAAATGCATTGAATGCCTCTCCATTTCGATGGAGCATATTATATGATATTTATTAATTCCTTAAAATACTTATAGAGGTTGTATTTACTTTAGGAATTTAGTCCTATATACTTTAAGTTTGGCATTTAGTCCTATATACTTTAATTTCAGAAATAGTATCCTTTATATTTTATTTAAAATATTTTACCTTTATGTATTTCAGGTACATAGAATGGTATTAATCATAATCTTTGGTTCATAACTCCTGCTCATAAATGGTCTATGCATAAAATTACTATTTGTGTTAATCACTTACAGTTCTCTCGTTATTATACTTTTTTTTTTATTTAAGAGGAAAAAGAGAAAAACACAAAACAAAACAAAGCAGTGTAAGGTTATACATAATACAGAATTACAAAAAAAAACATAACAGTAAGAAATCACCTGTTAATAGATTACATATTATCATCTTGGAAATAGTTGCTCAAATCACAGTATCAAAGAATACAAAGTAGACATTCAAACAGAGAGACTGCAAACAGCTGTGTTCAATGATCCAAAAACATTAATATAGTCAGCTATTTAACATCCCTAAACACACTTGCTGTTATATCCGTTAGAGCTCTTTTTTTTTCCCTCCCTCTCTTTTTTACAACAAAATTTACACATTTTGGATTTTATTGCTCCTTAGTTCTTATTACTTTTTTTGGGGGGGGGGAGAATAAAGTCAAATATGGCAAAACAAAGCTGTAAGTCAAAACCAAGGATAGACATAGCACATGATGTAGAACAGAGTACAAGGTTATTAACAATGGTTATCAACATTGTCTCTTGTTTCCTTAAAAGGAATTGTCTATCTCATTAGATATTATAAAGTTGGACAAAACAGTGGAGAACAAGACCAATAAAACTTAGGCATTGTGAACATTACAGGACTTCCAAAGGAGACAATAGTCAAACCAGAATGGGCATCTTTGTGAATCTTATTGCCTTCAAATTAGTTGCCTATACCCTCAGACTTGCTACTATCGCACAGAATGGAACAGAGTCTAATCAGTCAAAACAAGATCTTGGGAGTATTACAGGACTTCAAAAAAAGTTAATAGGAGATCAAAAAGAGTTACTACTATATATCCTAATTTTTTTAATTTTTCCCTTAATTAAAATAAACATAAGAAATAGCTAAATAATCGTTATTATACTTTAATAAAATCATGAATTTATGCTCTCCTCTCAACTATCACATTAATGATTTATATCTACATAAGAGCTTCCTCTGTCTCCTCCCTTTCTTTACCTGTGTCTCTCTTTTTGCAGTTCAGAGCCTTTTTAATGCTATGTACATGCTCCATCATACAGCACCTCCCTACCCCCTGGATTTGGTATTTTGTTCTGGCTTTGTTTTTTTGTATACTAGACAAGCACTATATCATTAAGGTACAGCTCCAGTTCTTGGGCTTGTTTTGTTTTATTTTGTTTTGTTGAGTCTTCCTGCATATATGCCACCTTAACCAGCTCAGGCTTTTTGATTCAATATTATAAGATTCTTTCTCATTCATATGTAGAACTGTAACACTTTGATTTGACATATACATAATATTTTTACAATTTATTCTGGGGGCTGGGGATTTAGCTCAGCGGCATAAGTACCTGCCTTGCAAGCAGGTGGTTGTGAGTTCGAGCCCCAGTACCAATAAAAAAATTTTTTTTAATTAAAAAACTAAGAAAAATTGTGCAGTTTATTAATTCTGTTAAATTTTAGTCTAGGTTTTTGCTATCGTAAACAGTGCTGCTGAGAACATTATTGTATATGTTTGCTTATACACATTTGCTAACGTTTACACTAATATCTAATAACTAGAAGTGATATGCAAAGCTAAGCATTGCATACTGTTTTACAAAGTTGATACATCAATTCTCAATCCTGGAAGTCATATTAAAGAGGTCATATTGGTCCATACCATTCCCAAATTTGGTATTCTCGAGTTCTCAACTTTTGGAAATCGGTATGATATCTCAGTATGTCCTGGATTTGTATACTTTTTATTTGCTTTTAAAATGGGAGTCATTGTTAAACTGCCTTGGTTAGTCTCAAACTCTTGGGTTTAAGTGAACCTCCTGCCTCAGCTTTCTACATTGCTGAGACAATAGGTTCAAACTACTGTGCTCAGTTATTCCTTGATTTACATTAACTCTAGTTAGTTTGAGTATTTATTCATATGTCCATTAGACGTGTATTTTTTTCTATGTAATGACTGTTTAGGAATTTTTTCATTTTTTCTACTGGGTTGTGTCTTTCTCTTAGTGATGTATAAGAATATGTTGTAGGCCTGGAAATGTAACTCAGTGGTAGAAAATTTGCCTAGTCATATAGAGGAGATCCTGATTTTGTAGTCCAGCACTGCTAAAAAATCATTACATATTCTTGATATAAACTCTTTTACAAAATGGTATCCATATCTGTCTATCTATAGTCTATATCTATCTATAGTTTCCCTCTGAATTATTACAAGTAGTAATTTTTCTTTAAAGTATATGTAAAGGATAAAGCTTCTGGGCTGAGGATGTAGCTCAGTGGACAAGTCTTTGCCTATCTTTTGTCAAGGATCTGCTTTTCATTCCACAGCACTGAAATAAATAAATAAATAAATAAAAATTAATAAATAAAATAAAAATCCTTGTTTTAAAATGTATATTAATTTGCCTATATTTCCTAATCATTATCCTTTTTAAACGTTGTTTAAGAAACCTTTCCTTAGCCCACTATCAGAAAGATATTGACTTGTATCTAAAAAATTTCAAGTTCTGGAGTTGTCTTTTGGTGTGGTATAAGGGAGACATCCATTTTCATTTTCTTCAATTTCAATAAATAGTTTTTTCCTTACTAATTGAATATTCTCTCTTCTGTTTGCCAGTGGTCAGCATAACTCCTGCTATCAAAGTTCACTCTATATAGTAAAACCTTGATTTGCAAGCATAATTTTTTCTGGAAACATGCTTGTAATCCAAAGACTTGCATATGAAAGATAATTTCCCCACAAGAAATAATGGAAACTTAGATAATTGGTTCCACAATCCAAAAATATTCATATAAAGATGATTACAAAGTTGTAATGAAATACAAAATAATAAATAAAATATTTGTTCCTATGTTCATAGTAAAAATAGTTCAAAATTTACTAAATTATATAACATTCCTTGAGTTTTCTTTCTTTTGTACTGGCATTGAATCCAGGGCCTTTACAATGAGCTACATACCCGCTTTTTATTTTTATTTTTACTTTTATTACTTTGAAATAGGATCTCACTAAGTCACTATGTTTTCCAGGCTGGGCTAAACTGATAATCTTCTGCCTCAGCCTTCCAGAGTCCTGGGATTATAGGCATGAACTACCATGCCTAACTACCTTCTTTTATTTATTTGTTTGTTTTTTGCTGTTTACTGAGAGCAGGTCTTGCTAAATTAAATTGTCCAGGTTAGCCCTAACTTGAGATCAAGTGATCAAGAGTCTCAGCCTCTGGTGTAATTGGTATCGTAGGCCTGAGCTACTACACCCATACTGATTCATGTTCAATCTTAATATAAAATTAAGACATGCTTACAATAAAAATTAAAGTTTTTTTGGGAGACTGTTAAGTAAAAATTTCTCTGTCCCATTTCTATTTCCCTAAGTCAGGGCCATTATAATTATTTGTGAGTAAATACATATGCACATATAGATATATTCCACTGTATCAAAGTACTATATATATATATATATATATATATATATATACAGACACACACATATATATATATATACCATGCCATAAAAACACAGAAAATATTATTATAAACCAGATACTAATGTGCAGCTATTTTCAACTAGTTTTATTCACTTACATGTTTTAGATGTATTTTAACATGAAATCATTCTCGTTCATGTGTGCATGATTTCCCATTGCCTAGATATACATCATTTATATAAACATTCCCTTAAGAGTGGTCACTTCAGAAGTTTCCAGTTTTTGCCATAAAAAAACCACATTGCTATAGTCAATGTGTTTGTCTCTTTGCATGCTTCTATAGTGAAATCTATAGTACAAATTCTTGAAAGTAGAACTGATGGATTAAGATGTATATGCATGTAAAAATTCATCAGATATTGACAAACTGCTTTCCAAAATGTTTGTACCAGTACACACCTCCACAATCTCTGTGAGAACTGTTTTTCTGTATCAGCTAGCTAGCTTGCTTGCTTTTTCTCTCTTTCCTTTCCTCTTTTCTTTTTTTTTCTCTCTCTCTCTCTTTCTTTCTTTCTTTTCTGGCACTAGGGGTTGAATCCAGGGTCTTTGCTGTGAGCT